CCCGCCCCCCCTCCTCTCTTCCTGCCCCCCCCCATTAAAGCCGCCCCCCCCCCCCCCACCCCCACCCACTTTGCTGCTGTTTCCAACAACTACGTCACTGTCACTTCCTATCACAGTTTTGGGTTTGAAATTCCTCAGTGAGATCTCTTCAGGAGACACAGCAGTATTTTATTAAAAAATGCGTCACGATGCTGATGACACTGTGATCTACACCGTAGCGTCTGCTGCAAATTAAGCTCTTTGTCAGCTGTGACGAAAATAATCTGTTTGATTCAAAAATGTTCTCAAAAGGCTGACAAGAGCCGAATGATTCAGTTTTTACATAAAAAAAAGTCAAGGTCACCAAATTCACGTCACTACTGCACAAAGCACATTCACTGAAATGCACTATGGCTAGTACAAAAACACCTTTCCAATGTTTATTCATCCATGTTTCAATACAACAACCCACTGACTGTCACTGCTTTTAATGGTCTTTTAAGGTTTACACCTACAGGACAAAAGAGTGTTCTTTACCCAGGAGTAAGATTCCAAGCTTTATCCCACTCCGCAGCCAACGACTTGTATATTACTGCGGTGAGTCATTAGCTCATCTTCCACTACAACATATATTACAGGATACTGAAGGCTAGCCTGGCATGCAGCCAAACTGGATGGGGATCAACCTGGACAGTTCTCCAGTCCATCCCAGGGCGACAAAAAACAACGCAGGCCGACACTCACACCTACAGTCCATCAGTAGAAAATGAACCTAATCCTACATGTGTCTGGACTGTGGTAAGAAAACCACAGAAACTTAATCCAGGTGAGAACATGAACATCTCTTTTACCACGTGGTCCCCTAGGATTTAATAATGATTTTTGCATTAAAGTAATTAGAAAACATGAGAACTAGAACTATTTAATCCTGTTCTAGTTCTAGGATATAAAGTTCTGGTGTTTGGTTGAACTGATATTTTCAAAGTTTATTGGAGAGGCGGCCAAGGACTTTTTCCCCCAGATATCTTTAACTCTATCTAACTCTCACTCCTGTTCATATTTAACGTCTTTATTCGTGTTTTTCATTTTAGACTTTCATTTCACTCACACCTCTCCTCCTGTTCACTGTTGTAGTAATTAGTTCTCCTGATAAGCTCATCGGTCGTGCACGGCGGCTCTTGTGTTTCTCTACATGTCAGTATATCCCTCATTTGAATGCAGGCTCGCTCCTCTCACTGTGTTTGGTGGGTGTACAGGTTATTGTGTGTGGATCATCAGCATGTGAAAGCCTGCTCGTGTCTCTCTGCGGGCTGGATGGAGACGCAGAGATAACGCAGCCAAGGCCGGCGTTTCTATATCAAGGTCGGACGAGTGACCGGTGCCGTCTGCAGTCATGACTGGAACAATGGAGCCAAAAGCCTGAATGTGTGGACGCTTCCAACCGCTGAATCCCCTCGTCTGTCCTCTCAGACCCCACAAAGAGACACATGTCCCTGAGCTCCACTAAAGCCCGTCCCGTTCAGGCGCGGGGCAGTGGATAAAAGTACCTCTCCCTGCCAGTATTGTTGCACTGCCTTTCCCTGAGTTGCCTCATCCGTGACATTCACCAGCCATGTCACTGTTGCCAACTTCTTTGTGAGGCGTTTGCACAACATACTCTGTTTGGGTTTAGAGAAAGTTTATGTGGGAAATATGGAGGTGGTGTAATGGCTTTAGATTCCACATAGAGTGCGCTGTTTGACTTTCTCAGTTAGCTCAGATTAATTTAAATCTGTATTTTAAGACTCTTATATGCATGAAAAATTAAATTTGGAAAATAAATTTGGCACCAAATGCAACTAGTAATACAGAAGTGAACTGTGTTCAGCCAAGTATTTTTGGTCGTGCACCAAACTTGGGGTCCATGTGTATAAGTGTGGTGTAGAGGTACGGTATCCTCCCTAGCTAGCTGAAAAAAAAATCACTAGTTCTAAATTATGTAGCCAATGTTTGGACTTTTGGTTTATTTACAATTTGAAATCAAATTTATTGACGCAGTCGGAATTTTGATGGTGAAGCTTTAAGAGAGTAATCAGAATAAAAACAAAGAGGGTTTTGTGGCGTTTCCATGGTTATAAATTTGACAATCTCTTGTTGACTTTTGATGTCTGTCCCCAGGAATATTAACAAACAAATTGAGGCCAGATGACGATAACGGTGATGCTGTTACTTTGACAAATATGGTCCTTCAAAATGTCTTCTGGTTCCATTAAATGCTACAAATGTCTATTTAATTGAAAGTTAAACAGTAAAAGACGGAGACCAGAAAATACAGGGAGTTAGTGATTTGCATGATAATTTTGTTATTGTATAAAAAAATTGTTACTTAGCTTCATATCAGTCACCCACCCACCCCATCCCCCACTCTGAAAGTCTTGCCACTGGCAGCACTAGACTCTCTGGTCCGGGACTATATGTGTGTACTACTGTATGAAATTGATGAAATGATTTTTTTTTTTAAATCTCATCTCAGATGTCTGTGCAAACACACGGGTCTTTGATGGATGCAGAAAAAGCAGTGCAGTGAAGTCATGCCTTTTGGTCACATGACCCGGGTTCTCCTTACACTGACGGCTTCTGTTTTCTTCTCATTTTGAACACACTCCTGTGTATACACAGCAAATATGGGAACACATCCACTGCCGCCTCCATGTGCACACTCATCACTTTTCCCGAGAACATATACCAAATAACAACATCGCCGCCGCCCTCATGTCTGAACGCTGGTGTTTTTCTTCCAGACAACTTCTTCTGCAGTGTTGCTGACGGTGCAGCTGCTGTAAGACGGGTGTGTGTGCGCCTGTGTGTGTGTACCTGAAACAGAGGAGTCGTCGCCATTCTTTTCTCTCTTTCCATCCTCCTGTCCGTCCACGCTCTGCTGCGTGTGCTGCAGACTGAGTTTGTGACACACCTCGAACGCCTGACCCACCGTCCGAACGATGCGCATGGCCTGACTCTGAGGAGACAAAGACAGAGACAGAAAATGTGACCTCTGCTTTTAACCCATCACCAAAGTCAGTAGGGGGCAGCAGGTGATTTTCTTTTCAAATCCAGAGTTAGTTTTTATTTAGTTTTATTTCCTGTGTCTTTGTTGGTGTCAGTCTAAGCCCCAGCATCGTCTGAGCAGAAGAACCAACCCTCTAGACCTCCTCTGGCAATGCTCTCAATGTGAACACACACAGGCCTCTGTGCTGTCAGCGCCCCTCATGTCTGGCTCGTCGGAGCAAAGAGGAACACAGGTAGAACAGATTTAATTTTTACAAGGACCCGTGCCCAAAGCACCGTCGATTCTTGGCCGCTTGAGCAGAACAGACGCAGTGTGTTCTGAATCAAATCTCTGCCAAATGAACGAAACCTTTCTTGTCCTTGTTATCAGCTGTGAAGCAGTCTGAAATGTGTCTTCTGTAGTGTGACCTCAGACTCAGCATCTGAGAGAAAAGTAAAGCAATTAAATCATTTCTTTGAATTGGGGGTAAATTACATTCCAAATTGAGACAGGTTTTGGCATCGGCCGATGTTTGGGTAGGGCAGGCGCACAAAAAAGTCAGTTGTTTTGAGTCAGTTTTCACTATCTGAAAAGCACCGTGGTTGGTTTTCGTGGGGGTGTGATTTATTGATTTTATTTCTTTTTTATAAAGTTTTTTTTTTTTTTTCAGTTTCCTTCACCAGAATACTGCATGAGTCGGTTCTTGGCATTGATCCTTCAATGACCTGCTTTTTAGCTCTTCCTCTAAAATGTAAAAACTTTTATTGTCTGTATTTGGAGCGAATACAAAGGTAATTTTACAGAGTGATGGACCTTAACGCTGCAACAACACAAACAACAACACAAACAAAACTCGTAAAAAATTCAACCTTCACTGTTAACTCCCTTTAATCCAAACCATGGAAATGAATCAATGTCAACGTTTACTTCAGCTCCATTGTTGAATAAATCAAACTGTTCTATGTTCTGCTTGCTTCAAAGTATCAGATCAAAAAGGCAAAAAACTGTAATATTTCATAGTTTTTTTTTGGAGCTAGCTAGCTGTTGTGGTCTTGATGTATCATTGCATCATACCCATATCATTGAAAAACATTTAATAGTGGGTATTCTACTCTATTCTATTCCATTCTATTCTGTTGAACTATGCAGATATTTATATGCTTAATTCTACAGTCCTCTTCTAATCTACATTGATGGCACATTCCCTCCGGTCAAGTACAGTTAAGTAAAGTAAAACTGCATCATTGAACTCCATTGAACTCCAACTGGTACAACTAACTGTAACAGTGAATCTAGGGATCTGGGACACAAGTGTGGAACACATCAACCAAACTGTCAGGGACCAGGGTGAGAATATATGCTCTTTAGAAAAGTGTTAAAAATCTGTCCTCAAAAGTCATTCCCAGGAGCAGAGGTGTGAGAGCTGTTGACCTTTACTCCATGATCATCCTGTCAGCAGTGTTTTATGAGCTGCTGTTGTTTTCGTCACTTCTTCCGGCAAAAAAGAGAAGGAGTAAAGTCTTTAAGCCTAATTGTGATGAAAGCTGCGGCTCCTCCAGCTTCAAGGTCTGAATTACCTTTTAGGTGAGAGAACGAGACCCCGGTGGAAAATATGTGGTTCAGGGTTCGTTGCTGTCTAAACTCGACTTAGCATTGTTATGCGAATTTCTCAACTTTTAATGGATTTGCACATCAACAGCAGAGCAGGTAAGTAGGACACAATGGCAAATAAGTCAGTGCTGAAATGCAATGAATCCTCATTATTGAGGGAATAAGTTTGGAGAGTCAAGGAAAGGCCTCCTGGGAGAGACACAGTTAGTGTCAGCAAAGGAATCATCAGGCAGAGAGAGAAATACCTAAGTACTGTCACAACTGCAGTACAGAGAAGAGCTGCGCGGAGTAGAAGTTTAAAATTACCATTTGTTTTTCCCGTGACACTGAAGGTGACTGCATGAAAAGAGAATACATTTAAACACTTGTTCCGTGGATGACTGGCCTCAATAACTCATTGTCATTATTCAAATTATATTTTCAACAATACCCTGCCTACCTCTAACACTTTTTGGTATGGTTCAGTGTGGTACGGTACGATACGGTACAGTATGGTATGGTATGGGGCCCAACAAGGAGGAAAAAGTAGAAGGATTCTAAGGCCCATGAATAATTATAATACTTTTGTACGATTTGGTATAGTAATAAAAGATGTGAAATTGTTTTCAGTTTGGACATCTGTCTCTCTGCTCTCGTTCTTAGAACCCCCCCATCATCATTTTTCCTCAGTGTCACCTGACCTGAATGGATGTCCCCCTCTGCTCTATCGCTCTGCTCTCCATACATCAGACTTCCTGTGAGCTGTATCCCTGCTGCAGTGTATTCTCCTCTCTCTCTCTCTCTATCTATCTATCTCTCTGTCTCTCTCTCGACAGCTACAGGATAATGATCCAGTGAAAAAGTCTGAGGCCGATAAATCAGCCAGGGCTTCAGCATCTTTTTGGAATTCTTGGCACAGGCGAGGACGGCACAAAAGGGAAAACAAAGCAATCAGGGGAGATCCGGGGCAGACGCTGAGGGGAGGCAGCCGGAGAACTTAGTTGTGATTAAACTCCTCACTTCACCTCCTCCTCTGGTGATTAGGACGAGCTCATTCATTTGTTTTTTTGCTCCAGTTCTGGTGTTTACACATTCACTACCACATCCATCATTCACACCAGGGCAGACTGTGTGTTTGCATTTGCTCCCTCGTATTAGCAGTCCGACCTGAACACGACTGGAACAACACTGACTCTGCTTCAGCAACAACTTGGTGGAGAATTTCAACACAGCAAACATTTACATTGAAACAGGATGTAGCTCATGGGGTTTGAATATAAGCCAATCAGAAACAGGTGAGTGGCGTACGTGTCATCATTAGTGTTTTTCTTCTGTCATTATTTTTGATGAGATGGACAGAGTCTCCACTCTGGTTACCGTGGCTCTGCTATAAACATCTCAGTTTTATTTCTTATTACTGTGAAGGAAATGGTTTAATAATCACTGAGTTTCACTTTGTGTTTGACTTTATTGAATTCATACATGAAAATGACTTTGTTTGTGAATTTTTCTTTTTCTTAAAAGGTCACACATTAAAAGTCTAAGACAAACTGAAAATTAACCTTTATAATATTAGAATAACTAAGTTTAAACTCTTCTGCTGTGTTTTATTCAGAAAACATTGATTTCGAACAAAACCCAAAGTGTGAATAAACTCGGCAGGTCTCCCTTTGAGTTTTGGTTAAAAACCTGGTGAAATCTGTTTTCTCTGGTGTTAAAATGTTTCATTTTGCTAGAGCTGAAAAAAATGATTAAACACAATGTCAAACAGCTCGACACCTGAGATAAACCAGGATAAATGATATGACTCTTTAAAGCTGTTGGAGACGTGTCCTAACACTTCACAGTCATTCACCCTGGACGACCATCTCTGTCTGAGACCTTCTCCACTTCCTCTTGAACATCTTTAGTGCAATAACATCAGCACATGAGAGCAGTGTTGCTAGGTAGGAAACAGTTACACTTCCCCAGAGATGGTTCTCAATGACTGGCTTCACACACTCTGTGAGCAACGCTGCAAAAAACAAAAACTATATTGCAGTTGTAGATGAATGGATGAGATGGTTATTTGCAGTGGCAGGTGTCAGTTGACTGCTGAGACATTAACGCTGGGGTTTAAACACTTGTTTCTGACCAGTGAGGACGAGGCCAATGTGTCCGAGGGACTGTTAGTGAATATAACGAGACCAAAACAGGAGCCGATCGATAGAAAGAAGTGTATTTGTTTGTGGAAGACCGTGAAATATGCCGAGTGAGAGAAAATCAATTCATGACGCATCGGTGACTCTTCACAACCATTAGCTGCATTTCCACAAGGCAAGAATAAAAACACACATGCACAGGCGCGCTCACGTGCATGCACGCAGGAGGATGAGTGTTCTGTGTTGCCAACGTTGGCAGGAGCTTTTCTAAAAATGTCATTTTAATTAAAAAAAAGCATAAATCATTATTACAGCTGACTGTAAAACACACTCTGGACTCACATTCATGTGTAACAGATGCCATACATTAATCTGTGGGTTGTCACTGCAGCAGAGGTTTAAATCCACACAGCTTCCTGTTAAACCCTCAGAATTAAGAGTCTTCCGAATAATGAGCCCATAAAAATCTCCCCGACTGACAATCCTGGCTGTAAAACCAAGTTTTCTCTCTCACTTTTTTTTTTTTACTTTCAGTGTTAAGTTGTTAGCAAATGCATTTGACCATTCACTAACACGACATGTGCTAAGCTAACAAGCTAAAAAAGGCCTACAAAGTTGGATTTAAAAATAACTCTTTTTTTATTCTACGACTTTGAGTCTAATAAACCTTTGAACCCTTTTTTCTCAAGGACCTTAAGAAGCTCTGCATGTTTCCAAAGGCTGTACATTCCAGGAATGATTATCTGACTTTTCTTCCATTATTCTCTGTCCTTTGTTGCGTTTGTTCTTCATTTGTTTAGCTTTTTCATCAGTGAAGTGGCCTCGGGTGTTTTTTTATTTTTTTTAAACACTCACTGCAGGTCGGAACATTGTTCATTATGATCGTTTCTATTTCCTATTTCAAAAGCTAGGCGAGTAAGCAGCCGGGGCCACGTCTCTGCAGACTCTTATGTGACGTGTTGACTTTCACTGGTTTCTAAGCAACAACTCTAAAACCTGAGGTTTAGCAATTGTTATTTTTTAAATACAGAACAACCTTCGAGTTCATTCAGCTAGCACACAAAGAAGCTTCAATCAAGGCTGTGTTACATTCGTCACATTCAACGTTTCTGCAACACAGATTTTCCAACAATCATTTATTTCTAAGACTGAGAGAAGTCTGTCATATTAAAAACCACATGGTACGCTACTGGTCCGATATTGGTCAAAATTTCAGGATCGAACATTGGAAAAAACCTAATGTAACTCATCCGATCCGGCACCAAAGCCCAAAATTCTCTTCTACGGCAGCTTGTGGTTCGCTGGGGCAGAAAAGAAGGTATCTGATTAATATTGGTATTTGAAGATACTCCAAATTGCAGTATCGGTATCGGATTTTAAAAAGTCGAGTCATCGCTATTTTCTGGATTACTGACCTGAGCATTTTTCTTTCTGTTCAATTTGATTTCTCAAATTCTCTCGTTTTTTTAAACATAATTTACAAATACAACCATTGAGCGAAGACAAAACTCTTTCGAGTTTGAGACCCCTGGACCAGAACTCATTAAAGGAACCATTGGCATTCATTTTCAAACACATAACATTACACCAGCTTGACTCAACTCTGGTCCACAAGCCACAAGTTTAAACACAGAAAACGAGTGCGCTCTAACGCAGGTGTATGGTCAGACCTTCGAGCTGTGACCTCCACCGTGGTGAGAGTAAACAAAGTCGATGTATGTAGCTGTATTTTGCCTCCATCCTGACAACACTGGACGACAAGATTAATAAATAAATATATGAGTCAATAACAAAGTTGCACACAGCAGTGAGAGAACAAACAGCAGAGGGGGAGGCGTCGTCACAGTGACACGGATATTCAATAACCAAAAAAGTGCTGAAGGCAGAATAAATCCAATCACCCAAACAGAACTGGATCACTCAGAGCCACTGAACAAACCATCGATCCTCCACCCGGCACCGAGTCTGGATCAGCACTTGTTTAAAATTTGAACCCGTCTCTCTTCATCAGCCCAGACATCCTAACTGCCCTTCCTCATTGCTGCAGCGCCTTCACCCCCGACCACAGTGATTACCCATCAAAACAATCACCAGAACAAAGGAGGAAATGACGAATGAATCCACAGGTCACTTCAGGAGTTTTTGTTAGATATTGGACTGCGGCTGTGATTGTTGAAGGCAGAGGAATTAGCTTGTCTGGATGAACACAGAAAGACAGCAGCATATGGTCGGGGGAGAGGGGGTGTTGGCACAGACGGAGACAATTTGATAAAACACTCAACATAACTATTCCTGCTCCGCTCAAGGGTCGGCCTTCGAAACATCTTTCAGAATTCAGAATTAATAAATAAAAGATTAAAAAAAAAAAAGCCAGTGTTCAAAGTGTTTTTCTTAGGTAAATTATTTTGATTAGCAGATATATAGATATATATACACACATATGTGTATGTATATATATATATAAATATATATATTTGCAGATCATTATATGCAGATAGAGCCTGTCTATTTATTTTTAATGTTGTTTTTAAATTTATATTTAAATAATGCAGCAGCAGTGAACCAGACAACACCCAAACCAGGACAGGTTTCGCTGGTCCACATCGTCTACTTTCAACTAAACTGGAGTAGAAATCAGTTAGGAGCAGACAATGAATTAAATGGAAATCCTTTTTCAGAAAATAATAATTTCCTTATGCTATAACAAAATGGTGAAGTTGAGGCTTTTTTGGAGGGGCAGGGGGTTTGGACTTAATTCATACAAGAAGGGAGTCTGTGATCCCTAGGGGTTTAGAGAAGTATTGCAGAAGGGATGGGATTATAGTTGAATTGAACTGTCTGCAGAACACATCATTAGGAATTCAACTGTCATACAGTCACACAGATTTATAAAACACCACTGACTTTCTTCAATTTTGTTGTCCAAAACGAGAAAGAAATAATTAAAAAAAAAAAAAAATAAATCAGGACTTAACAAAAACCCAGAGAACTCCCTCTCACCTTTTAGGACTTTTAGCACAATTATTTCGGGATGGTGTGGTGCATTAATATTTATGAACTAAAAACCCAGGCACCAGAACACACACACACAAACACCTCTGACCTCTCTGCAGCAGCAGTGTCGCTCAGTATTCAGTTAGAACTCCTCTGCCCTCTGCTCTTATCAAGCTCACTTCAGCCCCACACAGCAGAGGCCAGGTCATCCATTACAGTCTATTCAACTGTCGGTTTAAGGAGAACACACACACACACACACACACAGGCTTCTAAAGCGTGATTTAAGCCACAGCTATCCTTTGACTGCTGGTTGTTAAGAGGGAAATAAAATCTGTCTCATCTTCTAAATCTTTCCCTCCCCTCTACCCCCCCCCTCCACATCAAACCCACTCAGAGAAAAACTACATTCAAATCCCACCTGACATTTACGCCACATTTGAAGTGAAGTTCCTGCATTTGTTCGATACGTCCGTCTCTCTCACTCTTGGTCGGTTTCTCTGTAAGTTTTCCAAACTCTGTCTGACTGTTAATCGGGTTTGCTTCCACAAAGATTTCAGGTTTTTTTCTCGACTTCTTCTTGACCTTCTCTGCACATCCTCAAGTTAGCGTTCTAAAACTATGAGGCAGTGAATATACCGGGGAAGTAATCGGAGTATTTCTCATCACACTAGTACACACCAAGGACAGGTTGTTGGCAGTAAATTGAATTTTAGGCCGGCTTACTTTGTAAGATTACATGTTTAATCAGAGTGACAGGTTTGTACAGACTGAAATGATTGTGACACTTTTTTGGGGGTAATTATGTTAATGAGATGTCCGTCTAATTATCCAGTATATTAAGAGACTGGCTTTCCTTTGACAAGTTCCACAGGGAATCATTTAAGCTCAAAATCTATATTTTTATCTATATAATTTATATAGATAATAATATATACATTTTTTCACATGCATGAGGACGCCAGTGCACAACATACTCTAAAAATAAATAATAAAACTAATACTACTACTATTACTACTACTACTACTACTACTGTCAGTGATGATAATAATAATAATGATGTAATAACAATGACTCGTCAATGGCATTGCTGTGAAATAAAAATACTTTAGTATTAACATTTGTGGAACCAAATTATAGGAGCTGCTGGTCACATCGTTGTTTCTGCATCCTGCTTGTCATAAAATTCACTTCCTGCCATCAGGTCTTACCTTTTTCTTGGATTTGAAGACGTTACAGCGGAAAACGTTACTCTGTCCATCTCTGGCAATGTAGCTGAAGATCTTCAGGTCCTGGGAGTCGTGGGAAACGTAGAATATTCTGCAGAGGAGAAAAAAGGCAGAGGTTAGAGCAGGTGTAGGCAAACGTTTTTATTAGCAGAAGTATAACGCTAATATAAATTATTGACATTATTTGGACAAGTTTGGTTTGGCCCGGATTAAAAGGCCAAAGGGGCTGCATCTGGCCCCCGGGCCTTAATTTGCCCATGCCAGGGTTAGAGTCTATTTTAGAGATGAGACGTTTGGGACCAGTGGACTGGTGATACGCTTCAACATCCATGGGAAACAACGTGGTGTCAGAAAAAAGAAAAAGAAAATTAAAAAAAGTACTTGAAGAGAAAACAGTAAAGTATTCCAAGGCAGAGGAGGAGACGAAGGCTGCAGGAATCAAAAATCTTCCTGTTTGTGACAACGACCAGGGAGCAAAGTTTGAGACAGAAATAGAGCTTTCTGGTGAGCACAGACCGAGCGCAACCGAGAGTGAAAAACAGACACAATACCCTGCAGAGTGGGTAAACAAAGAAAACAGGATTTTAGGGGAACAAAAGAAAGGACAAAAGGGATTATGCCTCATAACCTGCAGGTGGGAAGAGCGCTGTAGGTGTTTGAGCTCCACGCCAGATCTCATTTGTGACGACAAACAAACACAGGTGGAGAAGCACCGAGCTTCACTCCTGCCAAGAAAGTGAGTGAGGGGCTGAAAACCCAGAACCTGGATCACGTTCAGACCACAGAACGATCAAAGTCTCTCTGGGAATTCTCCACGACTAGATTTCGCTGCAAGATGTTTTTTTTAGGTTTCTTTAATGCGCCCTTTAAAAAGGTTAATTTCAGCTATAAATCACATTTACAGGGGCAAATGATGGGGTGGGAGGGCGTGGGGGGTATTTTCATTGCTGTGAATTAAAGATAACCCTAAGGTGATGTCTGTATCAGCTCCTGGATTCTGATCTGGTCGGCGTAAGTTTTGGATAACGTGTCAAACTCAAGGCCTGCGGGCTAAATCTTGCCCATGACATCATTTAATGCAGCCCACCAAAGCTTCAGAGGTGCTTGTACTTAATTTGACTTATGGTTTAGATGGTTCATATCTGATAGAATCAGGACGTGACATCATCACTGGGAGGACACAGACCACGGTGGACAAATGTCCTTGTAGGATCTCAGTCACGCAGCAAATTTTATCTGACGTAGTTCAGACGTAGACAATGTCTACTGACTTGGTTTTAGATTTTTTTTGCTTCTGAACCAGGAAGTAATTCAGTAATTCTTGGTAAGGTTTTGCTGTGTTTCAACATAGTAAAGTTTGTAGGAAGCTATTTAGACTCATCCTTAATAGGCTAATGCAGCGAACTGGAAACTTGAAGTGCCTGAAGTGGAACCTGAGGTGGAACAGAATTCTAATTTGGCAATTAGTGTCATTTTAAAGGCGCTCGGTTGGAAATTTGGACTCATTTATCACAATGACACCAGAGGAGAGCCAGGTGAGAGGAAAAAGTCGGACAAAATGTTAATGGCTCGGTCGACTCTGTCTTCAACTTGTTTGCCTTCCCATAAACTGCGTGCGTCGTATGCATCTGTGTTTGTCTCCTCATCCAAACCATGAGGTTCATCTCTGCGGTGACATTTCTGTGGCATTTGTTTTGGCCTTTCCACGGGAAACTGGAGCAGCTGCCGTCCTGGGGTACGGATGGTGTTTTTGTCTCTCCTGCTCAGCAGACTGTCAAAATACCAGATACACTGATCTGGAGGGACTCTTTCACACACACACACACACACACATATATATGCAGTGTGGTTGACCTTTTATTATTATTGGCGTGTTCCATTAAAAAACCTCATTTGCACATGGTTATTGCAGGGAGTTGTCACGGACTTCCTCACAGGATGACTTCTGGATTCGGTTGCCAACACCAATGCATTTAGAATTTGGATTAGGATTTTTCTTTCACTTCAGCATGTCGTCCACATGCACAGTAAAAAGAACATTTTGAAAACAGTGGACTAGTGCTTTTTCACTGGCGTTTATTATTTTGTAAACCATCACATTACAATTAATACTATTTGTCTGTATGAATTACGTGGCTCACACCGACCTGCGACGGGACTGAACGTTTTAATTGCAACATGACTTTCCACTTGTTGCCTTTGAAACAACCTGTTTTTGAAACTCCAGACGAGGACCATTTTGAAAAAGGAGGAAGAAAAACAATTAAAGATTAAATAAACACATCCAACTGTGGTTATTTCCGCAGCTTTGAAACAAACATTTCAGTCAACAAACACAAAGTTAGATTTCTGCTATCAGACCGTGTCGGCCACTGGAAATACCCTGACCCCTCCCCATCCACTTATCTCTGCCCTTTAAGACCCTTTAATTGCCCCAAGTTTCAACTCTCTGCACTTCCTCCATTTTCAAACTCCAGACACTCCACTTCCGTCTTTTATTTACATGAGAATTAAGAAAGGATCTTGTCTGCTGTCAAACTGTTGCTGCAGGGAACTGAACGTAACCCTAAAACTGTAGGCAGAACTTTAAAGAGAAACATAATCTGCTGCCAGACAAGTGACGCTCAACTGAGAGGCTGTGAACGTGACGTTGCACCACAGGCACGGCTGACGATCCCTGAAGTACTGCAGGAATGACAACCAGGATAGAGCTCCATCAACTGTCTGAATGTCTGTCATGTATCCAGGTGAGAACTGATCTGAGATGAATGAGTGACAGACTCCCATCAACGGAAGTCACAGGTGGTTAACGGCAAAACAAGACTGAACTCTGCCAGAAAAGAACCTTGTATAGAGTTTAGGGCTCATTAGGAGCTACAACCGCCTGGATTTGAATGTGTGAACAAGATTTTTCTTTGTTCAAGGATTTTTATTTTTGCTTTTTATCCTGTTTTCCAGCTTCTTTGTTCAAGGATTTTTATTTTTGCATCCTGTTTTCCAGAAAAATCTAAATTGCAATATGATTTGCATGCAGAGATAACGTTGGCACATCGATCAATAATTCATTAATAATCGTTAGTTCATTTATGTATTTATGTATAGAGTTGATCCACACAAACATTTGTCTTACAATACTCTAACAGCAGGTGTCCTCAAATCCGGTCAGGGCATCGGTGCCAGTCCGTAGATCATTTGGTACTGGGCCGCAGTGGGACACAGTGAAAAATAATCCAGTCATATTCCTTTACTGTTTTCATTCAAAGACAATCTGTCAATGTTTCAAACCAACAGGTCAAAGGTCATTCAGACACTGATACTAACAGAAGAAAGTCAAAAAGATGTTTGATTTTGAAAATGTAATGATCCTTCAATGATGGCGCTACCAGTAATCAATTTCACTTAACTTACTATTATTTGTATGATATTTTCACAGCGTATATATCACAGCGAAGGACAAAGACACAAGTTAACTTTCAATTTTTTCTGCAAAACATAAAACATCAGGTTTACCAAAAGTAACAAATTTGACTAAAAGATGGAAAGAACTTGTATTTTCCTCTTCATTGAGCCTTCACCTCCTCGCACTATTTTTCCAATATTCTGCTGTAATTTCCATCCAGGCGCAGATGACACCCTGCTTTACCAATTCAATGAACACGGACAAACGTCAATGTCCTTCTCACTCCCCAAACCAATCAAACTGACGTCTTATTTTCTCATTTAACATTTGACTTTTTTAAAGCTGACAGTTTCTTGTTATACACTGACAACTCTGGGGGGCAGTGTAACCCCCACATGTCACACTTCTGACAGCTCACTTTCCTTTTATGCACACATCAATGACATCACTCAGTCTGTCTGCTTCAATCTTCATAACTGAGGTCTCCACCCATTTTCACAGCCTACAGCACTGGAACATTGGTAAATGTTCCCAACAAACGCCAACATCGATTAATTTAACGACACAGAGTGAAGTATTAGGAACAGAAACTGAGGTTTAGCACAAAAAATAATATTTAATGATTTCTAAATATGAGTATAATTTAGCATTACTAATTTGACTTCAAAGTCATCAAAAAGATTCAGCTGCAAAACTCTTCCTGGTCCTACAGACCACCTTTGGAGCTGGATTTATTTTCAAACATAAGTGAGAAACATTTTTGGATCGGCCTCAGCGTGAGGGCATGAAGCTGTAACGGAGCGGTAAATGACATGGAAATATGTGGATGACCTCACTGAGCTCTTAGTTACTGAGACTAAATTATATTTTAACAATCCTCAAACAACAGAATGTTCTACCAGCTGTCATTGAAAGACTGCAATCCAAAAACACTTTGAAAGATAAATGAATAATTATTAAATATTTTTGGTAGGAATATGAATAATTATTTTTCCCCGATATGAATTATTGCATAATTTTGTGAAGTCACAAAAACCATCTGCTTGCCATTCTTTCTGTACCGATTATCAGCGATTAATCGTGATTATTCATTATTAATCAATTTTTTGACAGGCCTAATTATAATATATAATAACAATTTTTAACTCCCACAAAGCTGTTTTTCTTACTTGCAGAGAGAATACAATTTAGGAATCAGTAAAAACTCCCCTGCGCCCCTTTACAGGCCACATTCCTTACTTTTGAAACCACAACTCTGAGCTAACCAGAATTTTACATTTTTCTTTTTTTGACCACAGACCATGAAAAGTGGGTGTGATGTAACGTTGAAAGTTTTTTAATGAAGTTAGCCACCTTTAGCTGGGAGTATTGATTAGTTATTGTTTTTTTTTTTGTTTTTGTTTTTTTTTATAGTTGCTGTTAAACTGGAGCAGCTATAAATCAAAAGCAAAGAGGCCCTGCTCCATACACAATCAGTAAGATCCATACTTTAAAAGACCTGTGCCAGATCTGATTGTGCATGTGTGTGTGTGTGTGCCATTTTTAGCTACGGTATCATATCCAGGAAACGGAAGCTAACCACATTTGCATTAATTTCATCTCTCAACATTAAACACCCTCTCATTGGAAATCTATAGCAGCTTGAGAAGCAGCTTATGTAACCCGAGGCCGTACATGTCACCGTCAACACA